GGAACGACAAAAGGAAAAAACAACAAATTTTCGGATCGTCTTAAACATTTTGTTCAAGAAAACCCCCGCAGATTCCACCATGCCGTACCTGCGTTTTGAGCCAAAGGCCTCATCACATTGCCGTTCCGTGTCGTCATGGTCAGTTAAGCCATGATTCTGAAACTCACCTGGTCATCAGAGGTTCTCAAAGCCAAGGAGTGAGGCGTTGTACTGCCTTCCCCAAACGTGACGTAGGTTCTGGCAGTCATCAGTTTACCGCTAAGGCACAGTCTTGTAAACTGTTGTTATGCAATAAGGAAAGCACACGTGGGGACATTTACTACCGTGTGGTAGATCATAACTTTATAGAAACAGGAGTCATTCCAGCATGGCATAAACACTGAAAGAAGCGTCAGAGAAATCATTAAGCTTATCCCTATACAGCAAAACATCTATTAAAACAAAACCTATGTGGAGATTTTACGTGCGCATCATACAATCTACACGTGGTTTCTGATGATAATTTGATTAAAATTTTCACATACTGAATATACACAAACATAGCATAATTAATTTACATTTAAAACATAATTAAAAGGTTCTAAACGATATAGTTGATAGACATGTCCTATGGATGACTGAAATTCGACCTGATACAGCATGCATTGCTGAAAACCAATGTAGGGAACCCATAGAACCTTTGTCGCTGTTGCGACCGACATACGTAGAACGAACGTTCTAATTCTAGCGGGGCGGTCGGGTAGCCTAGTGGTTAAAGCGTTCGCTCGTCACGCCGAAGACCCGGGTTCGAATCCCGACATGGGTACAATGTGTGAAGCCCATTTCTGGTGTCCCCCGCCGTGATATTGCTGGAATATTGCTAAAAGCGGCGTAAAACCAAACTCACTCACTCACTCTAATTCTAGCACTTCCAGTCCCAAACTTGCAAACCACTAAATAAAATACTTCTATTACATGTAACGGCATAGGGGTGATTGGATAATCAAAGTACACCGTCGACGAGGATGACGGCAGGTACGTTGTTGTGTTCAGGAGGAAGCGCCGTATGGTGGAGGTAGCGTCATGCTGTGTGGGGAGGAATCCATGGTGACGTCAAATCATATTTGGTCGGTTTCGAGTGACCGGGTATATTGACCGGGTACTTCGTCCGTTGTTCCGCCTATTCTGCAGCAGACCCTTAACTACCTGTCCCATAACGCAAGACCGCACTGGGTAAGGATTACGACCAAATGTCTGCACGTCAAACACGCCAACCTCTTGCCCTCGCAGGCAAGATCTCCCGACATGTCCCCTGAAGTTAATATGTGAGATTTATTTTCTGGATCGCCTTATAAGAGAACGACCATTTCCTCCACTCATAAGTGAAGGCACTGATCAGGCACTGGTTGAGGAAAGGCGCCGGATCCCGGTTGCTTTCGTCAGACCTCTACCTTCTCGAGTAGCCTGTTTTCCGTGTCAATGGAGAACACGCATTATTGACTGATCGTGTGATTTCAGTGCCCGGGACGCCATCTGTGACAATTATCTGTTAAAATTCTTCACACATAACACATGACACATGACATCAAACATAACACATAAAACATAAACCATGACACACGACGATGTGCGTTTTGAACAGCTTTAATATCTTTTCGGAAAATGCAGATTTCTTTCTTATGCCCGTCAGTGTAATCACTGTATATTTTTATTGCCTCATGATGTAGGTAGTAAAAAATAAATGAAGTGGGGGCTGGAGCTTTTAAGATACAATTTAATCAAGTTACATAACGTATTTATATTGATATCATTTTATTTATTTCAGATCGACGAAATAAAAACATCACTTCATTATAAGTTTTTAATTAAAAACAGAACAATTCTCATTTCAGTTCATCGGAGTCGGCGGATCCATAAACCAAGTTTTAAAAAAACCCGTGAAGATCCGGAGTAGAATATGTCTTCAGCAACCCATGCGTGCCGTAAAAGGCGACAATGCTTGTCGTAAGAGGCGACAAAAAGGATTGGGTGGTAAAACTCGCTGACTTGGTTGATGCAAGTCATCGTATCCCAAATGCGCAGCGCATGATATCAATCACTAGATTGTCTGGTCTCGAATATGTACACAGACCACCTCCATATAGTTGGAATGTTGCTGAGTGTGGTGGCGTTTAAACAACAAACCAACAATTATGTCATGACTATGGACTAGCACTATAAAGCCGTCATAACTAACACTCCGCACAACTAACAGACCGGCGTGATACAGCTGGTATATTGCTGAATGCAGCGTACAAACAATACAAAACCCCGTCTGGACTCATCAATCTATTACTTTGAACACATGGCTCCAAGCTGCGACCAATTCATAATACAAGGAGCCATGCATTATACAACACTTCAAATATCATCTACCCGTTTAAACATTCTCACAGACGCTGTTCGTCACAGTTTTTGACCTTAAACATGAGACTCTTTGGTGTGTGACACAGACACAGGCGTACATATGCTTTGCCGTGAGGCCGGTTTCGCTGAATGGAGATTGGTGACGTAGCACCGGGTTGTTGTCGTTATTGCAGGGCAACGTCACTTAGCAGCACAGAGGAACACGTTTGTAATCTCATCATATACATCCATGTGCGTTTGTACCCTACAAAGGGACGCCTTATAACGGGTGGCGTGGCACACTAACGACTGTCCCATGTGTTGTGGTAATACATGGAGTACGCTTGTACTCTCCAGAAGGGCACCTTATAACGGAAGGCGTGGCACACTAACGAGTGACCCAGATGCTGAAATAATACATGGAATACGTTTGCAGCCACCGAGAGCACAAACTACTACCCACCAAGGATCCATAGCTTTACCCACAAAGAACCCAGAGCTTTGCCCACCTAGAGCACAAACTACTACCAACCAAGGATCCATAGCTTTACCCACCTAGAGCACAAGATCCTACCCACTAAGAACTCAGAGCTTTATCCACCTAGAGCACAAAGTACTACCCACCAAGAACCCAGAGCTTTACCCACCTAGAGCACAAAGTACTACCCACCAAGAACCCATAGCTCTACCCACCTAGAGTTCTGAGTTTTATCCAAACTTCTGTCTTTCCTGTCAACATTTGTAGCACATGTTGCACGACAGTCTTCGTGGTATAGTGGGCGGTGCCTCTGCCTGGACATCAGAAAGTCAGTGGTTCGATCCCCGGCCGCTTTACATTTAAAGACGTTAAACGATGGTAGTTGTTACCGGTCTATCCAACTGTGCCCAACTTTGGGTGTGGAGGATTAAGGGATTAGGCTATAGTCTAATAAATCACATCACATAAATTGCATGTTGTTCCAACTTGGCTCCAGCGATCCACTTCAACAGGAAGCCAACGACAAGATGTTTTGAAATGAATCAGTGAGAACCATTATTTCTAACATAATTCATCATAATATTGCTCAGCTACAAGTTTGGATTAAAATATTCTATACCTTACAGCTTTTGATGATTCAAACATTTCAGATGACCATATTTGTAAATACTGATCTTGTAATCTATTTGACACAATACATTAGTGAATGGACAGAATTAAAACAATGTGAATGCCATATATACGTAAAACCAATCCTATTAATATTAAATTCAATTGACAATAACCATTTATTCGTATTGCCTTCAGCAAGCTGGTCATCTAATAACAGTTTGTACAATATATGAGAGATTTTAGTTGCTTTTCCTGACACGATACGGGGCCCAAAATGACACCATCCGTGCATGTATTTGGTTTGGTTGGTTTGTTGTTTAACGCCGCACTCAGCAATATTCCAGCTATATGACGGCTGTCTGTAAATAATCAAGTCCGGGCCAGACAGTCCAGTCCAGTCCAGTCCTACGTCAAAACCCATTTCACCACGCTTGGTTTATGTAAATTATAGTCATTGTATAAAGATCACGATGGCATGTTTCTGCTGAAAAGAGGTGATTTTAGGTCCGCTTCGATTCACAGGACTACCTCCTGCTCATGGTTTTAGTATTCATTCCTATTTCCATTTTTGCTTCTATTTTTTGTTTGCTTGTTGTTTAACGCCGCTCTCAGCAATATTCCAGCTATATGTAAATAATCGAGTCTGGACCAGACAATACAGTGCTTGTCATCATGAGCATTGATCCACGCCATTGGGATCGATGACATGCATCAACCAAGTCAGCGAGCCTGACCACCCGATCCCGTTAGTCGCCTCTTACGACAAGCTTAGTCGCCTTTTAAGGCAAGCATGGGTTGCTGAAGACCTATTCTACCCCGGATCTTCACGGGTTCTGGAATTAAGGGATTTTCTGCCACGTTCCCCGCATATCATATATGATGAACTGAACTAAACTGAACTAAACTGAACTGAAGTTGATTACACTCAGTCTGCAAACTGCAGCTTAATAGGTACAGTATATATACAATAGTATATGTACTTTGTACATACAGTATAAACATTGATGCGGTGCTCTTTTTTTATGATTAAGTTTAACTGATATGAGGTCAGCAATTTTCACATGAACAATTTTCACATGATTATGATTTCAACTCATTAGTTAGTGCATGTGATCACGGTGGGTACTGTCACCAGAAACTGACTATAACTAATCACCTTTTGTTCTACGGTCTACTGCTTGCTGTTTTTAAATGTCGGGAACCCTTGTTGTCCTGCCTCGCGCTCAGCATTAAGGGGCTAAAACAAGGACTGGTCGGCTCGGAGTCTGCATACTGTGACTGGGTGGGGTATTCATGTTAAACAGCAACATGGTATTTCTGTTTGTTACTTTTGAACCAGCATTAGTCCGGACTAGAACAAACACATACACACTAGCATGCGACGTCGCTATGTCAGTGCTGTAAGCTTCATCGCAACGTTCCCCCTCCACCTCGCCTCACCCGTGACGGTCAACAGAAGTCGATATCGCGATCGACTGTATCACGTTCATTGATCGGCGGGTGGGGGGTCTAAGCCTAAGGGAGGTAACTGTAATAGATGTAGCTGTAGATATAAGTACCTCGGGTGTTCAGGTCTTCGTCTCAGTCGAATAGATCCGTCAGACTCGCAGGGTATTGCAAACGCCACACATTATAATGGCTGAGTCTCAGTCTAATGCTGATATCATGAACGAAATCAGGACGAAATTTGTGGGGAACTGGAAAATGGTGGAAACCGTTAACTTCGATGCTTTCCTCAAAGCAATGGGCAAGTATTTATCTTCATAAAATATTCATAATCATTTACCCAGTTTAGATTAAAAGGTACATAATGTAAATAAATAGACCTGGATAAGATGAAATTATTAGGGGTGCGGACACATTAGCCGAGAGCCGCGATGGGGTCTCAAGTCTTGACTGTAGGACCCCACATAGGGGCTCTCGCTACGGTCACATGTGAGTGGATATGACACGTATTACTTCTGATCTAGTTCCAATGAGAAGCAACGATATATACTGTTTAAACATTGAAACTGAAACTCCAAGAAACCGACATGACTAATGATTTGGTTGGGTCTGTTTATTTCTGGGCTGGTGGAAAACCCCCATCTCTGATCCACTCTTCATAAATGACAATCTCTGAGTGTTATTTTCGAATTAACACTCTCAGTGAACTAGGTATATCAACTGGCCGTGATGATCCTAACATAAGTAAACACTAACTCCCTTAGGAGGCAGAGGGTTAATATAAACACAGTGAAACGCGATACATGACGCATGCGGTGATCAATCCAGTCCTACGCCCGAATGGTAGAACCAAAAGTGCATTCACGCCTCGCCTGAACGCAGATCGACCCAGATTTTGACCTCTAACCTTAGACTCATACACGGCCCATTTCATTGTTATGGTGGTGAAACACGGCGATTTCATCACTGACGCAACTTCAGCTTGGTTTATTTGTAGATTGAATGTCAGATTTTAAACTTCAGTGCCTCGCTGTTGTAGCCTTGCTATGTTTGAAGTCTTCATTCTTCTGTATGTATGCACAGTGGAGATCCCTGGTGTTTAATCTACATGTGCGTTACTGATGCATCGACCAGTATCGTTGTTGACAATGCGCACTAGGTGGCTGAAGGCTTTGTAAGCGTGTTGATCAAGGAAACATAGCAACCGCCGATGCCAAAATAGCACCACTCTTCTCTTTATGCGTATTGAAAACATTCCACAAAGATGCGTTATAACGATATACTTCAGGGCTGTTTAACACAAAAAAATATGTAGCGGAAAATGCCCTTTTGACCCGGCTACTTCCGTCCTATATACACTACATTGCGCAATGATACGAAGATCTTAATGCAAAAGGTAGATTTGTATCTATTTCATGTTCAAAGGCGAATGGGATGTGCCAGCAGAAGTCTTGGCCTTAACAGTAGTGATCGAATAGTAGAAGTAGCAGTATTAGTAGTAGAAATAGCCCTGTTAGTAATCAAAGTAGTGGTAGTAGTAGCAGTAGTTTTGTTTGTTTGTTTGTTGTTTAACGCCGCACTCAACAATATTCCAGCGATATGACGGTGGTCTGTAAATAATCAAGTCAGGACCAGACAATCCAGCGATTGACACCAAGAGCGTCGATCCATGCAATTGGGAAACGATGACATGCATCAACCAAGTCAGCGAGCTTGTAGTAGTAATAGTAATATTAGTAGTGTCAGCAATAGTAACAATCAGATAGCTGTAGTTAGGACGAGTGGAAGTTGTGCCATAAAACAATGCCGGGAGAATAAACCATGATGGTCGAGTTTATGGTACGACAAACAACGACCACGTGTCGGTTTTTTTCTTCTATGAGATATCAACATCATGTACAGCCTTCTCAATATAATGTACACGCTTCAAAAATGTTTACTCGTTTTTAGATAATGACGACTTCCTGAATAGAATCCGACCTCGGCAATGTCCATTCTATGAACATGGGGCTACGTTTGGTATTTCCCTAATATTGTCACATTTTTCACATCGTATATCTGTACCTTTTCACCAAATACCGTTTGTCATATCTCTCCCACTTTTGGGTGCGATCGTTTGGTCATTGCATTTGTCTACGTTGCCCAGCTACATCTAACTCACTACACACCCCCTCCTCAAATATAATGTCGTCCATTTTACGACGTCATGAAGTTGCTTATCTTCTTCCCAACTATACCCATATTCTCCGACCCAACAATACCTATAATCTCCGTCCCAACAATACCCCTAATCTCCTTCCCAAAAATACCCAGAATCTCCGACCCAACAATACCCTTAATCTCCGTCCCAACAAAACCCCTAATCTCCGTCCCAACAATACCCCTTATCTCCTTCCCAACAATACCCAGAATCTCCGACCCAACAATACCCAGAATCTCAGTCCAAACAATACCCCTAATCTCCGTCCCAACAATACCCAGAATCAACTTCCCAACAATACCCAGAATCTCCGTCCCAACAATACCCCTTATCTCCGTCCCAACAATACCCCTTATCTCCGTCCCAACAATACCCCTTATCTCCTTCCCAACAATACCCAGAATCTCCGTCCCAACAATACCCCTAATCTCCGTCCCAACGATACCCAGAATCTCCGTCCCAACAATACCCAGAATATCCGTCCCAACAATACCCCTTATCTCCTTCCCAACAATACCCAGAATCTCCGTCCCAACAATACCCCTTATCTCCGTCCCAACAATACCCAGAATCTCCGTCCCAACAATACCCTTAATCTCCGACCCAACAATACCCCTAATCTCCTTCCGAACAATACCCCTAATCTCCTTCCGAACAATGCCTATAATCTCCGACCCAACAATACCCTTAACCTCCGACCCAACAATACCCATAATCTCCGACCCAACAATACCCTTAATCTCCTTCCCAACAATACCCCTAATCTCCTTCCGAACAATGCCTATAATCTCCGACCCAACAATACCCTTAATCTCCGACCCAACAATACCCATAATCTCGTCACAACAATACCCCTAACCTCCAACCCAACAATCCCCAAAATCTTTGTCCATCTTTTGAGACGAGGACACTAATTGTTGTCACGCTTGTCTGCAGATGCTCCATTCCTTGGACGTAAAATGGCGGGCACCCTGAAACCAGACTGTGAAATCAGCATAATTGACGACCAGGTCCGCATCTACATGTCCACGGCGGTCAAGTCACAAGAATTCCTCTTCAGATTCGGAGAAACGTTTGACGCGGATATCATGAAGAATAAGAATAAGGTAAGCCAAACGTTAAGGCTGACTGCGGCGTCAAACATACCCATTCACTCACTCACTAACTCCATTACGCGATTAGGTTCAAGGTATAAGAACTTAATCGGATCATCTCGATCATAGCTTTTCGGATTTATAGCTCGTATCTTCTGAGCACCCGTGTGACGGAGATTATGTACTTGTAAGAGTTGAACAAATGAAATTTATCACGACAGGAAACAAAATATACACTCGGACAAAACAAAATAGATTCAGAATTCGGAATATAAGTAAGGATTAGACTCAATAATTTGCCGGGCCCAAAATGCAAATCTAGTTACAGTTGTGACAATTTAGAAATACTTTATATTGTGTTAAGGAGGTCAAATATTTCAAATGTGTTCTTATAGACTAATTAAATGAAAAGAAAAATGCGGTAATTGACAACTAAAGCAAATGCTCAACCCGTTTTCAACAAAGCTAGTCCATTACTGAAACAACCACTAACTCTTGTAAATAAAACCACAGTCAGCTAATTAAACCACAACTAGCTTAACCATTTTAACCATAACTAGTTAACCATTTACACCCCAACGAGCATACCATTTAAACACGAGCTAGTATACCATTTACATATCGGCTAGTATACCACCTAAGTAACAGATAGTATGCCATTTAAAGAAAGTTAGTATACCATTTAAACAACAGTCCGTATACCAATTAAAGAACAGTCAGTGTGATATTTAAACAACAGTCCGTGCACCAATTAAAGAACAGTCAGTATACCATTTAAATAACAGTCATCATATCGTTTAAACAATAGTCAGTATACCATTTAAACAATAGTCAGTATACCATTTAAACAATAGTCAGCATACCATTTAAACAACAGTCAGCATATCATTTAAACAATAGTCAGTATATCATTTAAACAATAGTCAGTATACCATTTAAACAATAGTCAGTATACCATTTAAACAACAGTCAGTATATAATTTAAACAACAGTCAGCATATCATTTAAACTATAGTCAGTATACCATTGAAACAACAGCCAGTATTCCATTTAAACTATAGTCAGTATACTATTTAAACAACAGTCAGTATACCATTTAAACAATAGTCAGTATACCATTTAAACAATAGTCAGCATACCATTTAAACAACAGTCAGCATATCATTTAAACAATAGTCAGTATATCATTTAAACAATAGTCAGTATACCATTTAAACAATAGTCAGTATATCATTTAAACAACAGTCAGCATATCATTTAAACAATAGTCAGTATATCATTTAAACAATAGTCAGTATACCATTTAAACAATAGTCAGTATACCATTTAAACAACAGTCAGTATATAATTTAAACAACAGTCAGCATATCATTTAAACTATAGTCAGTATACCATTGAAACAACAGCCAGTATTCCATTTAAACTATAGTCAGTATACTATTTAAACAACAGTCAGTATACCATTTAAACAACAGTCATCATATCATTTAAACAATAGTCAGTATACCATTTAAACAATAGTCAGTATATCATTTAAACAATAGTCAGTATACCATTTAAACAATAGTCAGTATACCATTTAAACAATAGTCAGTATATCATTTAAACAACAGTCAGCATATCATTTAAACTATAGTCAGTATACCATTGAAACAACAGCCAGTATTCCATTTAAACAATAGTCAGTATACCATTTAAACAATAGTCAGCATACCATTTAAACAACAGTCAGCATATCATTTAAACAATAGTCAGTATATCATTTAAACAATAGTCAGTATACCATTTAAACAATAGTCAGTATACCATTTAAACAATAGTCAGTATATCATTTAAACAACAGTCAGCATATCATTTAAACTATAGTCAGTATACCATTGAAACAACAGCCAGTATTCCATTTAAACTATAGTCAGTATACTATTTAAACAATAGTCAGTATACCATTTAAACAACAGTCATCATATCATTTAAACAATAGTCAGTATATCATTTAAACAACAGTCAGTATACCATTTAAACAATAGTCAGTATACCATTTAAACAATAGTCAGCATATCATTTAAACAACAGTCAGCATATCATTTAAACTATAGTCAGTATACCATTTAAACAATAGTCAGTATACCATTTAAACTATAGTCAGCATATCATTTAAACAACAGCCAGTTTACAGTATACCATTTAAACAATAGTCAGCATATTATTTAAACAACAGCCAGTATACCATTTAAACAATAGTCAACATATCATTTACACAACAGTCAGCATATCATTTAAACTATAGTTAGTATACCATTTAAACAACCCACCTCTAATTACAGTGCCACCCCACTTTTTTGAGAATGTATATATGTTTTACTGAAATGCCCACCCATAATTACAGTGTCACACTAGGGTTGTGTGAATGTATGTATGTTTTACTGAAATGCCCACCCATAATTACAGTGTCACACCAGGGTTGTGTGAATGTATGTATGTTTTACTGAAATGCCCACCCATAATTACAGTGTCACACCAGGGTTGTGTGAATGTATGTATGTTTTACTGAAATGCCCACCCATAATTACAGTGTCACACCAGGGTTGTGTGAATGTATGTATGTTTTACTGAAATGCCCACCCATAATTACAGTGTCACACCAGGGTTGTGTGAATGTATGTATGTTTTACTGACATGCCCACCTCTAATTACAGTGTCACACCAGGTTTGTGTGAATGTATGTATGTTTTACTGAAATGCCCACCCATAATTATAGTGTCACACCAGGGTTGTGTGAATGTATGTATGTTTTACTGATATGCCCACCCCTAATTACAGTGTCACCCTAGGTTTGTGTGAATGCAAATGTTTTACTGAAATGGCTACCTCTAATTACAGTGATACCCCAGGTTTGTAAGAATGCAAATGTTTTACTCAAATAGCTACGTATACCTATAATTACAGTGTCGCCCTAAGTTTGTATGAATGTACATATGACTTAATTTTATGCCCATCTCTTATCACAGTGTCATCCCACGTTTGTTGACGGGAAGATAGTCTTCGATATGGACCCCGCGGACTCGAAGAAGAAGAAGCACAAAATGACTCGTGAGGTCAAGGACGGTAAACTTGTCCTTGTAAGTAGTTCCGCCTTATTATCCTTGTGTAAATTACAACAGACCAGAGTGATTAAACATATGTGGTTGGTAAGGCAAGGGATACAGTAAGAAAGTCCATATGTGTGCCTTTATATAACCCGACCTTGACTTCACAAGACCAATGGCCGTCTGCAGCCCTTTGATGAGGACCCCTAACCCGATAGTGGAACACTTCGAGATTGTTGTCGGTCCTGGGGCCTTGTGTTTCATGATGGTTCCACACTGGTATCCAGAAGCTAGCATCATCGCCGTCCCAGTGACTACCATGTAGTCGTAGAACTGCACAGCTCGAGGCACGTCAGGGGTGAAGTTCATGGCTTCTCTCCACGGGTCTTGGACCATGCCTGGTTGGAGAAGGGTCAAACCAGATGCTCTCTCGGTATAGAACCGCCAATCCTATGTCTTGATTCTTCCTCCAGATAGCTTGAGTGAAGTGGAAGTAGCATCCGTTTTATTCAGCCTGAGGGAATTCTGTCTGAACGGCTCAAATGGCAGCAAGTTCAGCAAGTGAATACAAACATATTTACAGATTAACCAAGCCGTTTAAAACTTCAAAGAGAATGCCTGTGTCTGGGTCATATCATTATAAGTAGAGGGGTGTGTGGCAGCTGAAAAGTATTTTACTGTCTGACAATGGGAGGACCCGAACCCGATAACTTACTTAACCCTATAAGCCTTACCCTGACCCTGATAATAACCCTGGGTACATCTAACCCTTACCCAATTGATGTACCGTGGAAGCTGCTTAAAAGTATTTCCATGAATTATTGCATCACAAGTACAGATTTCCCTTACATATTCTCATGAAAGCTGAAACGCCCTGATGTACCATGCATACTGTTCACAGGGATATAAAACCGATCTCACTCATTTCAATTAAAGATAATTACAGTTTTCCCAATGAACTTTTACAATTGTAAATATAATACAGTGCTGTACTGTTGCCAGACACAAAGCATTATTTCCGTACATCGACAACACATTTCCATGTTTTACAAAGGTTCTTGTTCCACGAGGGCACAGCTGCATATACGGGTTAATAAATATTTCAATATGTCATTATAAATAAAGCATTTAGTAAGCAATGCTATTTAGTTGAAGTGTGTCATGAAAGAAACATTAATATTAATTTATCCTTACCTTTGCAAATGGCCCCTGTCATTTCTACCATGAATTTGGAACGTTTTTGATTCCGATTGGTCAATCAGAGGTTTCAAATTACAATAACCACCTCTGATTGACACAGTCGTGTTTAAAATCCTTGGCAGATACATATTCCACGGGTTAATTATGTAGAACGAATTAGATAGTCGGTAAGCACATGGGTCTCACAAATGAGTAAGCGAGTGTGGTTTTACGCCGCTTTTAGCAATATTCCAGCAATATCACGGCGGGGGACACCAGAAATGGGCTTCACACATCATACAAATGAACGATACACATGTACTATACCTTCTTTTTAGGTTCAGCTTTAGGGAAAAATTATTCGAACACAGGCCATGGTGTGAAAACCGATTGATGTATGGAGACATTCTGGTTGTGTCTTGTTTACCCAGTTCATAACAATAAGAAATAAACAGTTCGTCAGCGATGGTGTTCTAGCTGATGTGTAGGGGCCTGGTATTCGAATTCAAAGATGCATTTGAAAGTATATTCTTTTCAGTTGTGTTTCCATTTTTTATGTTACATATATATTTATTTTTGTTACTTTCAGACATTTGAGGTTGGGGACGTCGTAGCAACAAGAACATTTGAGCGTGCTTAGAGCCGCCATTGCTTCACGTGGCAAGTGACAACGCTGTGATCACGAATATAGATGAATTAGGCGCACTCAAAAAAACTCGGGAGATACATGGCATTTCCCACATACATGTGAAATATATTGAATATTGAAACAAACAGTGCATTGTTTTTGTGTGCACAACAGTATATAAAGTTTATACAGACAAACGTCCTTTTTGTGTTCTATTTTTATCAGACGAACATGGTACTGACATCATTAAGACGTATATGTAATTTGGTGAATCCCGAAATTATAGTTTAAGACATATGTGTTGATTATGACCAAATCCAAAACTTTATTTCTTTTTCTATAAGACAAAGAAAATCAAAGTTTAACTTATAAATACTTATCATCGCTTCATTTGTAAAAGAACTATTTACCTCTCTTGTTGCGTCTTGCATCAACCTAGGAATGTGTCAAGGCTGTGTTCGTTTGTTTGTTGTTTAACGGCGCACACAGGAATATTCCACCTATACGACAGCGGTCTGTAAATAATCGAGTCAGGACCAGAAAATATAGTGATTGACATCATGGACGTCGATCTACGCACTTTGGATACGATGACATGCATCAACCAAATCAACGAGCCTGACCTCCCAATCCCGTTAGTCGCCTCTTACGACAAGCATAGTCGCTTTTATGGCACGCATGGGTTGCTAAAGACCTACTCTATCCCGGAACTTCACGGGTCCGGTCTGTAAATAATCGAGTCTGGGCCAGATAATGTAGTGATTTACATCATGGACATCGATCTACGCAAATGGGATGACGTGTACCAACCAAGTCAGCGAGGATACCACCCGATCCCGTTAGTCGACTGTGGAAACTGGACTTTTGCAGTCAGTTAACCACCTAGCCTCTTTCCAGCATAGTCGCCTCTTACGACAAACAAGTGTTACTGAGGAACAATAATTTTAACCCTGATCTTCAGGGCAGTCAAGGCTGTGTCGCATGTCGGCGTGGTTTGCTGTTTAATGACGGTGCCAACCCCCTTCCTCCTCTGAATCTCGAATACCATCTACTTCTTGTGTCATTGCTCACGCCTGAATTCTGAATATTACGTCACACAATTCTCAAAAGTATAGAGCCAAGGGTTGCGATTTGAAGATAAATTACTGAATTAAAAAAATAAATAATCAATCAATATACAGGCAACTTTTACGTACACCATTATTGTTAGTTAGATGTTAATTCTGCCAAATATTTAATTTAATTTGCGTTCCGCGTACCTCACTGTTGAGTCCCAAATACTCTCTAAATAGACCCCGAATCGCGAATACCAAAAGTGGGTTGGCAGGCTCTTTAATAATGAACTGTCGGCACCTTTGATCCCATCCAAACCCAGTTCAGAACGTACATGTCATAACTGTTTACACCGTTTGTGTGAAGTCAGTGTATATATTGCAAACACATACTAAATCACATACATGTATCTTACTTGAATATTTAACAAACAAAAACAAATGAATTAAAGCCCGAAGTGATGCAGTGTCGTTTGTCGCGTGGGGGGAAATTTAGTAAGAATAAATGACACGGAGGGGCATGGCGTAGTCTCTCCCAGACCCGAGAGAAAAAAAATTAATAAAGGAGTGCAACTCAAGTCTAGAATGACTTGGCAAGTGTAGATTGCCTCCTGATATAAAGGATTGTTCTGAACTCCATTTGGATTTTATTTATTTTTAATTTTTTAGATATATAGAGGATTCATCACTCGTGTTTTTTAATATGGGAAATATCAACCGAGTCTTAGTTAATCGGTATTTGCCGAGCCTTTGGCGAGGCAAATACCGATTAACGGGACGAGGTTGATATTTCCCATATTAAAAAACACGAGTGATGAATTCTATTTATCATTTTCAAATTTTTGCTTCCAAATTAAGGAATAATTGCATTAAACATTAACATCAGCAACTTGTCGAAATCTTACGTATAGATCGTGCGTAGTGATACATGTTTTCCATAGCCATGTAAACCAAAATAAACAATTCGCTGAGAAAAAAAGTTCCTCGGATTATTTTAAACAAAATACTTGAACAGACTTTTGCAGAATAATTGAAACTTTAATAACGGTAACAACAACGATTCTGTGTAATCTGATTATATCTCTGGTGTAACTTCACTTATAATATATAGTTTCAAATCAAACCGCTCCCTCTTCTGGTTATCTAATTTGCATATCTAATTTGCATACTTATGTCATTGGGGTATGACATACATGTTTTTATGTCATAAGCTTATGTCATGGATAAATGCTTAAGTTAAATGATAAATATTTTTAAGATAACTTTATTTCTGGGGACTAAATGTAATTGACTAAATCTAAGCATGGCGGGGCGGGACGGGTCCTTCTGGTTTCAGGGCGTATAGGTACACAAGGTCGAGTGAGACACAGTCATGTCACTGTGTGCTTACAGTTGCCGGACCTGACAAAATTAGCACAGCGGACCTCGGAGAGACTTGTAATCATGTGAGGATGCGGCAGGTATCCCGTGGCTCGACTCGCCAAGTGTGAATGATCTAGTCGACAAAGTATACACATTTTATCGACACGTGCATGAGAGTATGCACGTATGAGTGACAAAGGTAGATAACTGGTGTGAGCGTGTATGCTACGTCGCAAATAGAGACTGTGTGCTCACGAGCGACCTGTCCACGGTATAGCGAGTGTGAGTTGGCCGGACATCTTTCTCGTGATCTCCACATTGATACGTTATGGCGGAGTCCCAGTCGGAATCGGATAATCTTCGGGAAATCCGGACGAAATTTGTTGGAAAATGGCGACTGGTTGGAAGTGAAAACTTTGAAGATTTCCTAAAAGAGATGGGTAAATATATCAACTTGAATATGATTGCATCGGCCTTCCATTAACCCTATATGAGTCAAGTGTGTTGTTTACGTGTGGACAACATACCAAACAAGTGTATATTCCAAAGTACGGAGATGACTATTTAATGAACGTATATCATATTTGAATCATCAGTTACCTTAACTAATGATCTCCGATGCATACATCCGTCTTCGGCATGAACTGGAGCTTGTACTTGTGTATAACGAAAGAGCTTCTCGCGCTATAACGAGGAGGTAGTGTTGAAGGTTTTTGACGACGTTGTCTATTCATCATCTGTAAAGAAATCGACCCCTGAAGTTGACACAAGCAGTTACACCCCCATCTTACATACTAGTATCAGTAGGTTAACGCGGACTAGGTGATGGGTCAAAAGGTTAACATACCAATTAGCACACGTTTGTATATATATACCTAAACAACATTTATGTGACTTTGCAGTTTATTTATTCTAAACCTGTGCATATTTTGGTGATGTAAGTTGATCATAGTGTGTTAGTTTTAAGTCGTATCATCTTTATCATCAGCCATGACGAGGTAGGTATCCCTGACGTGATTGACAGCTACATGTAGACTGTACACTGACTCTAGACTCTTGATTGACCCTAGAGGTCATGCGCTTGCCATGACCAAAATGAGTATTTCACGAGAGAAGAGAGAGGGCGAGAGAGAGAGAGAGAGAGAGTGAGAGAGAGAGAGAGTATTCAAGTCTCTTCGGTTGTACAAAACACTTGCTTTTTTATTAATATTTATTTTTTATTAATATGCCCCAAAGATGTACAAGGGCCACCCATTATGAGAGACCAATTAAAACATTAAATAACATATTATTAATAATAAAATACTATGTAAAAAAAAGACATCCATCACATTAAAATATACATTACTACAATATAACAATCTTACAAATACCATTTACAGCAGCAGATCACATGTCAATGTACTGATTTCATTAACCAAGAACATCCCATACACGCCCAAGTAATACAAGGTGCAAAAACACATCTCCAAGAATAGACAGATGCACGTTCCATTAACCGACTAGAGTCCGTGAATACTGTTTGATGCAGCAGTATTCCAGCTAGGTCACGTCGACCTGTAATTAAACAGTCTGAGCCCAACAAGCGATCTGCACGCAGCATACACCAGGGATGATTCACCTATAGAGGGTTAAACTGATGATGGCCGTTATCGATATCCGCCGCTTTGATAATGCTGCAATACTTACGTGACTTATCGCGGGCGCAGCTGTGATAGACAAGCTCTTTCCGAGCACCATACTCGATTGTCTAGTGTGTTAATTATATATCCATACTGTGATTCGTCATTGTGAGGCAATGTAATTGTTTACAACACATTTCGAGGTGTAGACAGGTATCTGTGGTCATTTAGGTTTGCGGTAACTGAAAGAAATATATAATCTTGAGAAATTATATGACCAGTTTCATCTATAAAATCAATAATATGACATGTTCTACTGCAAAGTAGGGGATTCAGTGTGGACATTATGCAATAGGACGTGCATGCGAAAAGTCCCCGCCTTCAAGACAAATATCCTCTGCTCTGAAACCATTGGCTGTTGTATTTTCAAATGGTTGGAATAGTTGTATATATGAGCTTAGCCCCTCTCTAAAATGTATATATAAGTGCATTCGTTTCCAAACATTGGTCTAACACATGATGGGTTGTCCGAAATCTGATAAATATGGAAGTTTTATAACCTGTTATTATCCCAACTGTGTGCTGACTGTCGGCAGGTGCCCCCTACCCGGCTCGGAAGATGGCTGGTTTCAGCAAACCCGACTGCGAGGTCAGCATCATTGACGACAAAGTGAAGGTGAACACGACGACGACCTTCTGGTCACAAGAAGACATCATCCAGTTCGACGTTGACTACGAGAAGGAGATCCAGAAGACGAAGATGAAGGTTCGCAATCTGGCTACATTTTGTGGTGAAAAGTGTCCATGTTAATACAAGTTTTGTATACATAGTGGATATTTCATGTGTCGAGTGAAATATCATGTTTCTCTCATCGAGTGACAGGGGAAAAGGTGATATTTTCACGAGTGACAAAATGGAATATTCTATTTATTATATACCTTTTGTGTAGTTGTCTACTGGATCAATATTGTGATATTATTTCATTAAAATGTAAACCTTGAAACGTAAATTCTCCCCACCTAACACACAGGGACGGTTCACCACCCCTTGTGTTTGAGACTAGAAAAATAGTTACGTGTTAGTAAAATCTTTAAAAATATAAACAAAAGTAACAAAAAATATTTAGAGGTCACGAAAATTCTGTATCATACATAGAGATATGATTATATACAATATCAAGGTTAACAAAACAATTTCTTAAAAAAAATGACACAGCTGTTTAAAGCGAAAGAATACACGCTGGTCAAGTAACAAAAATGTCTCTTTGCGAAACGAACAGTCTCGATTGACGATTTAAATGAGAAATTTAAAGTTTATAACGAAACATTTTCAAGATAATAAGATATTAACTCCATCAATGACCATCTGTCATTTTTTTGCCTTGTCAATGTGGAACTAACGTAAAAGGGAAGCCAACAGTTTGTGTATGGGCTAGACACTTACGATAAAGGATGACAATTTGAGGGGAGGTAACTCTTGTATGACAATAGCTCCGTCAAAGTGTTATTTTCACAGCCATGACATATCAAGTGTTATGTTCACTGCAATGAAAATATCACTTTCTCAACTTCCGAAAACTCGGTCTTTCACACTAAGGTATATAATAAATGTCTAGATTTGCTAGGCGACTACGGGATCTCCACCTATATTCAAGCACGTGAAGATCCGGGGTAGTGAAAGGCGACTATGCTTGTCGTAAGAGGCGACTAACGGGATCGCGTGGTCGGGCTCGCTGACTTGGTTGATGCATGTCATCGTATCCCAATTGCGTGGATCGATGCTCATGATATTAATCACTGGATTGTCTGGTCCAGATTCGATTATTTACAGACCGCCGTCATATAGCTGGAGTATTGCGGAGTGCGACGTAAAACAACAAATAAACAAACAACCTACATTCATGTCATCACCATCCAAATGGAAAGTTGATCGGATGGCCACAATGGCCGATGAATACACAACCTACTGTAGGCACTCCCTGTTGAGCAGCGTAATAGAAGCCGGGCCTACAATAGACGCCGGGCCTCTAGTAGACGTCGGCCTCTTATAGAAGCCGGGTCGATTGTTCAGTGCAAAAAATAGAAGCCGGGCCTCTAATAGACGCCGGGTCGATCAATTGATACAATTAATGATCCCTGGGTATGGGGGTATGGGGGTATTAATAGAAGCCGGGCCTCCAATAGACGCCGGGCCTCTAATTGACGCCGGGTCAAAGGCCTGACTGAAATTAATAGAAGCCCGGACGTCTAACAGAGGAAATACGGTAGTTCCCCTGCTGTGTTTCAGTGTCACGCCAAGTATGAAGGAGGCAACATCCACATGACAATGGAGCCCATTGACGGCTCCAGCATCAAACCTCAGAAGCAGACACGCTATATCGAGGACGGCAACATGGTCTTGGTAAAACAAACTTTACATAACGGGCTGTGAGTGAGTGCGTGTGTTTGTGTTTGTGTGCGTATGTTATTGTGTGTGTGTTCATGTTATTGTGCGTGTGTGTGTGTGTGTGTGTGTGTGTGTGTGTGTGTGTGTGTGTGTGTGTGTGTGTGTGGAGAGGGATAGATGCTGTTTAAACAAATATTATTCCCGTATAAAGTGAAAATGATTAAAATAATGATTAAAATAATATAAAAATGAAAAAAAGGTTTAGATCATCTTGTAGCTCATCCACTAACAAATTTCCCTTTTCTCATCCCCCGCACACAAACACAACCCGGATTTTAAATGGTAGGTCCTTAAAGGTGAAACCTAATTGCAGTTAAGACAGTTCAGTTTGGGAAATATGTCATACAACCAACACACATGGTTGAGAGCTATTGCATACACACCGCAGCAATCACCCTCCTGGAGATTCATCGTTGTATAGCGATCACCGCACCGTGGTGGAGTGAGTGAGTGAGTTGGGTTTAACGCCGCTTTTAACATTATTCCAGTTATATCACGGCGTGTCAGCTTAATTTTTGGAGGAAAGCCCGAAGTGATGCAGGTCTTAGACGTTTACCACTTAGGTGAAACCCACGAGCACGGGAATGGTGCTGACAAACCCCTAAACATAAACGGGGCGAACCGGGATTCGAACCCACAATCATAGGTTTCTGGCGTGCCCAAGGGACGCAACTCTGCACAGCGATTCGCGGCGCCTTAGACGACTGGGCCACCCGTGCCCCCGCACCGTGGTGGAACAGTACCCCGATACACAGATACTCTGTGGAATCGTTACAGCTGTATCGATAACACAGCTCTAGCAATAGCAGCGTAGTACCAGGTTTTATTTCTTGTGTGTGTCTTGGTGTCTAGTTCTGTTTGAAAAGTTGTTTGACATTCACAAACTACTTATGTTTTGGCCATCGAAATAATCTGGATATAATCTCCACACCATGTCTAACCAACCGTTGTTTTGTTCAATTTTAGAAAATCGAAGTTGGGGACGTCGTTGCCAAGAGGATATTTGGACGTGTATAGTCAAGCAGTACCTACCTTCACGCCAAGTCGAACTGGCCATCATGTCATTTCTTCTGATATTTATCTTTCTTCTTTAATTCTGGTGTCCCGCGCCGTAATATTGCAGGAATATTGCTAAAAGCGGCGTAAAACCATACTCGCTCACTTTCTTCTTTAAACAGGGACACAGGTGGTTCAGTCGTCAGGTGCTGGAGTTGTGTCAGTGTTACGTTGCCAAAAACCTATGGTTACGGGTTCGAATCCCATTAGATCCTGATAATATTTCTGATGCATCGACGACTCAGCCACCCGTAAAGTAAACCCAAGTTCGTTGTTTCACTAGAGTGAGTTAGCTTTGGACAGTTTTTCAGTTACATCATGGCGTCAGTTGGATGTGGAGGAAAGCTCGATGTGATGCAGGTCTCAGACGTTTTCCACTGTGGTGAAACCCACGAGCACGGGTATGGTGCTGACAAAACTAAACACGTAATCGTGGCGAACCGGGATTCGAACCCACAATCCAAGGTTTTCACTAGGTCCCAAGGGATACAACTCTGTACAGCAAATTGCGGGGCCCTAGACGATTGGGCCACCCCTGCCCCTACTTGACTGGTAAAGGTGCAAGACGTGCATTACTTCAGGCACTCCTCCTGTATTAAACTGACACGCGGTGATCTAACTGAAATAATGTCAGAAGGGCGTTACACTTGTAACTCACTCACAACACTCATTTTATGTATGGTTATTTAAATTTTATTCCGAACAAAATATGATTGTGTGATAAACTGGATCGATATTGTGATATTGATATGATCAAGTGTGGTGATATATCAGCGGTTGTGATGTTTTTAAATGAATTGATGAATGTATGTCATCTGTGTGGGCATGCATGACAAACTGTTTCATCCTTGTTTTCACATCTACGTGGACAGTTATTGACAGAAATGTAGACAGTTATATATTTTGTTCTCAACACTAACAACCTCTCGGTGGCCATTTTACTCACTCTTGGGGCGGTGGGATAGCCAAGTGGTTTACATGTTCGCTCGTTACGCCGAATGCCGGGTTTGATTCCCCACACGGGTACAATGTGTGAAGCCCATTTCTGGTGTCCCTGCCATGATATTGCTGGAGCATTTAAAAGTGGCCTAACCTATACTCACTCACATACTAACTCACTCTTGATACTCAATGTTGAAATAGCATTTAGGAACATAAGTATTTCAGGGTCTGACAAAGACCAAATAGTCAGTTCCCAGTGAATATCGGTTGTGGAAAGTAGGTTTCCAAACTGTTTTTTTTGCTAAAATAGATTCGTCGCAATAAATTGCAAACATGCTTTTTAATTCTACACCCAATATGCATAAAATTAACTTACTCTTCAATACTCCACGACTAGGAGCAATGAGAAAATTGTCCCAAGACAACGCTTCCGTGGATTAAATACAACCTAGGTATTTGCAAGTACTTAATTCTAACGGGTCATCCTTTCGCTGACCATGTGGAATAAATCATCCTTGTAACATATAACGCATTTAAGAGTGCTTACATATATTTTACCGTATATAACAAAATAAATCGGCCTGAAAAAACTGTGTCCGATCCTTTAAGACCTCCAGGACACGAGTACCAATAACAGAACACGGCGACATTTCTCGAATTCTTCCCGCTTATACAACTCTACTCTACATTATTTATTTTAACGTAACAAGGTTCATACAGTGATTTTCTGCTAAAATGTGATTGTTTATACATACTAGGCTGAGTGTAAACAATGTGTTTAGATCGGGCAGAGATAGTATTAATGCATGGTTAGCTGGCCAACCAGGTAAGAACGACCAGACACTCAGAGAAGGAGCGAGGGTTGATTATTTGTATATGACTCACAACGAAGCAATAGTTGTCGTTGTCCTATTCTTTCTACTGTTTGTACGTTTTTCAATAAACCTCATTATCTGTATACTTAAGTACGTGTCGTGTTGTGAACCAGCGAGATCAGACTATGATGTTGCACGTCTCATCACTTGTTCCACCTGCGTGGTCTAGTGGTAGAGAGTCTATCGGAGAGCGGGAAGTCGGTTGTTCGATCCCTAGCCACGTTACACCAAAAGACGTTGAGATAAGGTATTTGTTTCCCTGCATGGTGCTAGGTAGTAAGGGGCTGAAACAAGAACTGATCTGCTCGGAGTCAGTATACTGTTTCTGAGTTGCCTGTTTAACTACAGTACACATCTTAATGGTCTAGTACTATACAATCGGAATAGTACAAGCGAGAAGCATATATATCCGTCCGGACTATCAGCCACACAGTGAGTGAGTGAGTTGGGTTTGACGCCGCTTTTAACAGTATTTCAGTTAAATCACGGCGTGTCAGCTTAATGTGGGAGGAAAGCCCGAAGTGATGCAGGTCTCAGACGTTTACCACTTCGGTGAAACCCACGAGCACAGGTATGGTGCTGACAAACCTAGAAACATAATCGGGGCGAACCGGGATTCGAACCCACAATCATGGATTTCTAGCATGCCCAAAGGGACGCAACTCTGCACAGCGAATCGCGGCGCCTTAGACGACTGGACTACCCGCGCCTCCTCATCCACACAGCCACACTGGTACATCTGCATGTACGTCGCTATGGGAGTGACATCATTTTGAACTCTACTCTTTATATACTCTTCGAAAAAAGAAACTTGACACTGACTTTCCAAATGTAATATAATGCGATTGTTTCAAAATAGGACACAGAAACCATAATTGAAACACTGTTTGAAGATCAATGTACATAATGTTCAAAACATTAATCGTGTCACCTAGACAGACACACGTACACGATACAGTTAATGTCACAGGGGTACAGAAAATGTCAGTATCGGTTGTGCCCACCACGTGCATCAATCACCGCTTGACACCGACGACCCATAGATGCAATCAAGTTGTCAATAACACGCTGTTGGATGTGCTGCCATTCATACTGAAGTGCATCAAGAAGCGCCGGAAGTGTTTGGGGCGGTGGATTCCTTCTGCGAAAGCGTCGATCCAACTCGTCCCACAGATGCTCAATCGGGGACAAATCTGGTGACCAGGCTGGCCAAGGTATTGTCTGGATGTTGTTGTGCTGTAAGAAGTCCTGACAAACACGTGCAATATGCGGTCGAGCGTTGTCCTGCTGGAACTGTCCGCCATGAACGTTGACGTGAGGAAGAACGTAAGGCTGTAGGATCAAGTCTCTGTAACGCACACCTGTCAATGCACCTGCCACATGCACGAGAGGCGTCCTACCACCGTGATGAATTCCGGCCCATACCATGACACTCCCGCCGCCAAATGGGACAACCTGCTGCACACAGTTGGGGGCGTAACGTTCGGCCCGACGTCTGTAGACACTAGCGCGCCCATCAGCACGTGTGAGTAGGAAACGGGACTCGTCAGTAAACAGTACATTTCTCCACCTTGCAGGTGCCGATCTAACCCTCTGTTGGCACCAAAGCAGACGGTCCGCCAGATGACGTGGGGTCAATACATGACGTCGAACAGGTCTTCGTGCAAAAAGTCCAGCCTCTCTCAATCTGTTGCGTACCGTTTGATCTGATATTCTGCTTACCCCAGGGATCTGTGTGGTTGTAGACGTGGCTGTGGTAGTGCGGTCTCGGAGGTGTCGCAGCCGGATGTATCGATCTTGTGCTTGGGTTGTCACCCTTGGTCTTCCTGACCTTGGTCTGTCGTCAACTCTGTTGGTGTTGTTGTATCGGGTCCACAGTGCGGAGATTGTCTGTCTGGATACGCCAAAGTGCCTTGCCACTTCTTGCTGAGTTGCTCCAGCTTGTAATCTCCCAATGGCGTTGTTCCGTTGAGCTGCATTCAGTCTTGGCATTCTGTCACCGCCTCTACTGCCGTTATAAGGACTGTATGAACCGCCGTTGATGTGGATTTTTATACCCATTCAGCAGGGGGGCCTGCATGCCTAAATGCAGGATCCTGTGCTGCACGTTTTTTTACAGGCGGTTGCGTTTGGATGAAGCCGTAAAATTGATCCCCAAACGCTACGTTTATGTGCTTTGCATGTGTTTTCGCGAATTATAGACACATCATCTTTCTGTTTGACTTATTTTGTTCTCATTTAATGTAATTATTTTAGATAAAGTGGTTTTACATCTGTCAAGTTTCTTTTTTTTAATATATTATATATTGTACTGTGTGCCTGTAGCCCCCTAACAACGTTAAACCCCATTTCATCGAGCCTCACCTGTTTGTAAATATTCTCGTGTGTATTTGTGGGCGGTGGGGTAGCCAACTGGTGAAAGCGTTCGCTCGTCACGCCGAAGACCCGGGTTCGATTCCCCGCATAGGTACCATGTATGAAGCCGATTTCTGGTGTCTACCGCCGTGATATTGCTTGAATATTGCTAATAGCGTCGTAAACCGGTACTTACTCACTGTCTGTTGGAGAAGGCGATATCTATGTTTTACAGCGTGAGTCCGACCATTGTGTTTTCTGACAATTAAATAAACGATAGACTGTGGACGTTACATGCTACGTCGGTTGCCCGTTGTCCGCACGTCGCAAACATCTACTACGTCGACATCTCTAAAACGTCAAGGTCTATTCGCCTGATACCGCGCCCCTAAGCACGGTTGACTGTCTGTTGTGTCTGTTGTGTTTGTTTGTTGTATAACGCCGCACTCAGCAATAGTCCAGCTATATGACGACGGTCTGTAAATCATCAAGTGTGGACCAGAGAATTCACTGATTGACTTTATGAGCATTGATCTACGCATTTGGGATACGATGACATTCATCAACCAAGTCAGCGAGTTTCCCCACCGGACATGCATCAACCACCGATTCTGTTAGTCGCCTCTAACGACAAGCATGGGTTGCTGAAGACCTGTTGTAACCCGGATCTTCACGGGTCACCATCTGTGAAATGAGGTAATGTTTTCATTAATATTGTGCGTTTGTGGATGCGCATAATATCAAGGTATGCTGTTTTGAATATGACCCTTGACCAAGTGTTTTATTTCCACACATTATTTTTAATACCGCCTCACTCGAACGCTATACTATACAAACAAGTTATGGTGATACTCAAATCACCTTTGAAATGAATTCATTTATATCTACTCTAACACCTTTGAAATAGGAAACAGGAAACCTGTGAAGATCCGGGGCTAGAATAGGCCTTCAGCATCCCATACTTGCCGTAAAAGGCGACTATGCTTGTCGTTAGAAGCGACCTACGGGATCGGGTGGTCAGACACGCTGACTTGGTTGATGCATGTCATCGATCCCAATTGCGTGGATCAATGCTCATGATGACAAGCACTGTATTGTCTGGTCCAGACTCGATTGTTTACATATAGCTGGAATATTGCTGAGAGCGGCGTTAAACAACAAGCAAACAAAAAATAGAAGCAAAAATTGAAATAGGAATGTATATTAAAACCATGAGCAGGAGGTAGTCCTGTGAATCGAAGCGGACCTAAAATCACCTCTTTTCAGCAGAAACATGCCATCGTGATCTTTATACAATGACTATAATTTACATAAACAAAGCGTGGTGAAATGGGTTTTGACGTATTTTGTGTGTGTGTGTGTGTGTGTGTGTGTGTGTGTGTGTTCGTGTGTGTGTGTGTGTGACTATGGACGTACGCCGGTTTTATAGTGCTAGCCAACTGAAATACCATGCCACAGATCAGCATGGATACCTCCTTCGAAACTTTCTACAGACCCTGAACCGACCAGTCCTTCTTTTAACCCCTAAATGCCGAGAGCCAGACTGGGCATTCCTCTTTACCCATCGGAATGGCACATACGCCAAATATACGATACCCTGCAAGATACGCACGGTATTAGCTCGAGCTACATAACATTTGCACTATATTTAGCTTTGCAATTCGATTATTGAATTCGTTGTAGCGCCCATGTGATCAAATAATCACTTCAACCTCAGCTGATTTCCTGTTTGTTGTTAAACGCCGCAATATTCCAGCTGTATGGCGGCGAGTTGTAAACGGTCGAGTCTGGGTCAGAAATCAAATGACTGACACCATGAGCATCGATCTACGCAACTGGAACACGAAGACATACATCAACCAAGTCTGACCAAACGATCCAACTGCTGAAGATCAATTCTTACCCGGATCTTTGAGGTTATTCTGATCAAACCATCCCATGAGGATTCCGGGACAGCATTGACACACAGACCCCACTACCCTGTGCTTGTAAAGTCGTCTAAATGCAGGAGCGGGCAGTGTTTGAAATATAAAAAACATATTGCCAGACTGCCATCAGGACCCACACACTTTAGAAGCTGCAGGCCCTGACTAAACTCTTCAGGCCCTCGTAAAAATACCCTGCAGCTCATTCTGACAAATATATTAATACGTAACCTTATTACAGGCCGTAAGGACCAATACAAATTTCGAAGGACAGGTCCGACATAAGATCTACCTGTCACGGGCCTACGGGCAGGCGCTTGTTTCGGACACTGGTAGCAGGTGGTTGAAATATAAACTCTGATTCTGTGGCCTTGTAACCCGACTGCGCTGATCATTTCTCATGCTATCAACCACTGGTTTACGTTACCAGGATACGATTATCTTCACGCTTTGGCATTCCTCCCACATTAGGCTGACATTCCCATGACAAAACTGAACTGTTGATTAAACAAATAAATCTGAATCAATGTAGAAACATATCATTTATTTATAACAAATGTGACTTCTAAGGGCATACAATAAATTATGCAAAATTATATACAATATTTTATATCAAATATACAAATACTATAAATGAAGCTATGTTTACAGCTGTCTATTCACATATGTACAGGCACGTCGGGGAGGCACTTCCGGTAGACTGGGTCCGGAAGCTTTCAGAGTAGACTCGCAGCCCAGGACACCACAGCCACACCCACCACCAGCAGGAGGTTCACTGAAACACGGACACGGAGACTTACTTACACTGTATACATTCAATAACATGCATGGTTTAGTGGGGGCACGGGGGCCCAGTCGTCTAAAGCGCCTCAGTCGTCACCCACAGAAAGTCTTAACGCTTTAGCTGACACCCGTGATATAACTGTCATACTGTTCAAAGCGGCGTTAGACCCAACTCACTCACTCACTGATATCAGAACACATTCCCTTTCATAAACGCTTGCCCCCAGACAAACATACCCGGACGAACGGACATTCTAAACTGTCAAGCAAAAGAAAGTATATACTTGACATTTATGAGTGACCAAAAATTACTAACGTTATCGAAGGTCACTATCCGTACCAAATACATCCCATCGAATAAGCATTTCTTGTTAGTTTCGGTTTAAGCCAGCATCACATATGCATGGTTGCATACTTTCTTTTGCCCGGCAATTTTGTTGGGATGCTGAGTATGTTCGTAAGAGCATTTTCGCGTATGATGAGGACAGGGTGTCGGTCAGTGCCGAAAGTCATACCATTGTTTTCTCTCAGGCCAGCGAACAATTATTTTGTTTTGAACTTAGAAAAGAAAAGTTTCTATATAGTTTTTTAAATTCTTCAGGCAAAGATTTGTTTAGCGTATTTTCAGTAACAAGATATTTCAGAACATATCCCAGCTCACCCCGATTAACCCCATCGTTTTGCGTTTGTGTTTCCATAAAACGTAAAATATATAGGCCACGTCTACTAACAGGGTACTGTTTCCTGATTGGCTGATAATAGAATTGGTGGGGCTTGTACCGTATTATTACGCTGAAAGATGTCCCTGATTTCGAATTGTTGTCTACATGTTTATGTTAATGATTAAATAAGAGCCTCGGAAATATTTTTCTTGACGTGAAAATTTATAAGAATTTACTTTAATATGTATGTGCGTTAATGGAGTTATAGTGAGTGAGTGAGTTGGGTTTAACGCCGCGTTTAACAGTATTCCAGTTATATCACGGCGTGTCAGCTTAATGTGGGAGGAAAGCCCGAAGTGATGCACGTCTCAGACATTTTCCGCGAGCACGAGCACGGGTATGGCGCTGACAAACCTAGAAACATAATCAGCACGAACCGAGATTCGAACCCACAATCATAGGTTTCTGGCGTGCTTTAGGGACGCAACTCTGCACAGCGAATCGCGGCGCCATAGACGACTGGGCCACCCATGCCCCTTAATGGTGTCATAAACGTTAAAACCGGTGTACACACTTTGCGTAAATCCGCAACACAGAATGCACACTGGACTTTACGTTTTTACCGCAAGAAACGCAGGAAATATTGATGTGAATTCTCAGATAGAAGTGGGAGGGTAGCTCAGAAAAGGGTGTTGCTGCCTACCTGTGGTCACCACCCCGCCAGCCTCCATCTGCCGCTGCTGGGTGAGGAAGTCAGCACACTCGTCCTGCAGAACGTCCATGTGGTTACGGCGGTTGGAGGTCATGTTGTGGAAGAACTGACGCAGGACGCTGCACCGATGGAATCCGGCATGGTCAAGACAACGAAGTCCAGTTTCGTAGTCCCTGTGAATCAGATACACATAAATTGCATGTGATTCCGTGGCATTTGATTGGCTAGTCCCTGCTAGTTGACCTCATTTGCATAATTATCGGATCTGTATACCACGGTTATCTGATTAGTTTATGGCATGGAAACTACCATCTACATGCTAAAATAAAATATATCACATTATTTCTTGAATACATTTAAGGACTTACGATGGTCAAGAACCATATTTAACATATTCTTAGATAGGTATTTATAGGTAATGTAACGGATATATACTAACTATATATATACGACCTAGGGATCGCTGTTCATATTGTCTTGACTCAATAATTAACTACCGCTTGAATTACCCACTTTACGATAGAGGCACATAGGAACACCACCCACAATGTTTATGAAGGTATTATCAGAAGGAATAGACACTCTTTTCTTAAAGAATTTTGTAAATTTTTCATTTCTGTATACATTGTGTAATTCTCTATATAAGCAGTATATGTTACAATAAAATACATAGTTATGTTGCTACTTGATTTGAGTTTTCTATTCCATAGACAGTAAACTATGGTTATAACGAACTCAAAGGGACCGCTAAATTTAGTTCGTTATAACCGTAGTTCGTTATAAGCACATATACAACATATGAACGGGATCAAAAAACGATTCGTTATATCCGCCAGTTCGTTATAAGCGTGTTCGTTAGAAACGTAGTTTACTGTAACATATTTCTGCGGACCAAGTCAATTTGTTATGATCCATGGGGGATTTTAAAACTCAGCCATGCTAAACATTAGTGTTTTTAAATAGTGTATGTGATGATGATGTGAATGACACTCTTAAATAGGTTAATCACGAATGGATAAATCGTTCATGTAAGAGCGCTTAATTTAGAAAAATTGAAACGTTCGTACTTGACTTTAATCCCATTGACCTGCACCCACAGGGATAAGTGAGTGGGCTGATGATCCCACGTCCCTCTACGTCAATGATGCCATGTTCAAAAGAATATTGATAACCGAGATGATTCAGAACTAAACGAATGCCACTTTGAGGATGTGATTGCAGATATTTTAGATTACCACATAACAAGAACTGAAATATTGGACAGTATGTATGGTTTGATAAATAGAAAATCAGCAGGAATTGATGATATTCTTTCGGGATATCTTAACCATTCCTAAGATATAGTTATTTCTTATTTAGTCATTATTTTTACTAACATTTATGAGTCGGAAATATTCCCGGAAAAATGGTCTACGGGAATAATGTTTCCTCTGCATAAAAAAGGCGAATTCTCAGTTGCAGATAATTACCGGCGATTACTTTGTTGAGTATATTTTAGCAATCGCATTTTTGGCAGATGCTCTTGATAAATTGTCAATCCGGCTTTAGAAAGGGTTATTCAACTATGGATAACTATTTTGTTTTAAATACCATTGTTGAACGTCATCCTTCACGTAGAGGGGGTAAGCATTTCGTGGGTTTTGTCGACGTTTCACAGGTCTTTGACACTATACAGCGGCATCTTTTGTGGAATTTATTGTATAAACATGGATTAAGCTAAAAAAGGGGAAGATGTTGCAGTCAAATATGATAGTGTCAAGGCTTGTGTGAGGTCAGATAATAATATGGCCAGTATTTGTTATTGCTCCATGGGCGTAAGACAAGGTTGTGTGTTAAGCCCCTTCCTCTTTCAGATATTTATCAACCAGTTGCTTCTCATCCTCTGTATCTCCTGGGCTCGCATTTTGGTACACCTGCACTAACCCTGGAGCCATTCCCGTGGTTCTCTCAATCATAAATTAACCGCCCCTGATTTCCATTTGCCAATTTGATTGTCTATGCTACTAGGTCTAATGGACCAATCAGAATGCGTGTTACAAACCAGCCTCTATGTTTGGTTGGCAATATTAACAACATCGTGGCCATTGAATTTGACCAAGTTTGCGAGACATATACTAATTTTACTCCATCACTTCAGTTTAGTTTCTTAACATTCCCCTGTCAACACATACATGTTAGGCAGATTGTTAGTGGGAGGTGATTAATTAACAAAAATGTGGTACAATATTCTCACCTGCACTGCTGTTCTGTGATTTCCGGTTGGTTGACAGACATCGGCCATGAAAGTGCAAGTACCCGAATGCAGTGCTGAACTCTCGCTTGGCCCCGTGAACCACATTCGTCTCCTGAAATTGTCAAGAGTTAATAAACCACACACAAGAATCGATGTAATTCCAACATTTTAGACAGACTACTACACGTATTATGGGTTGAGGCATACTTACACTACAGTGTTAAGACCTGACCTCCGTCAGAGAGGGTGAATGAGTAAAATTAACGCCGCTATGAACCCTATTCCCGTTACACCACGACGTGTCAGTTTGATGTGGGAGAAAATCCCGAATGATGCAGGTCTTAGACGTCTACCACTTTGGTGAAACCAGAGAGCACGGTATAGTAGTGACAAACCTAGAAATATAATCAGGGCGAACTGGGATTCGAACCCAAGATCATAGGCTTCTAAAGGATGCAACTCGTTTTGAAACGTTTTCAAAGACTGGACCTGCGTCAGAAAGTAAGGTTCATGTCTGCGATATTCGAAACGGAGAAAGAAATCTGACTGTAAGTCAACGGATGCGATTGATGTTGGTAAGAAGTGTGATGTACCGTCAGGTTCTGTTTCCGACGTCGTAGTGTTGTCGATGCCGCACTGCTGTTCGTACAGGCCGAAGATATGTTGGGGGTAGAGCACCTGCAGCAACGCCCCAAACATCGGACACGTCACCGGCACTCGCGACGTGTGCAGACACGACTTGAATTGTTGATAAGACCTGGAAACGATAAGGACGTAGTGATGATCATGGCAGTGGGGTGTTTCTAACACGGCAGAATGGTACTGTCTTGAAGTATACTGCTATGCGATACGCTGAGTGGACTTGATTGTCAAATGGTGCCCTTTGTGGTCTGCTTGCATGTGGTGCCCTGTGTGGACTTGACTGTCACGGGGTGCCCTGACGGACTTGACTGACACGTGGTGCCCTGAGTGGACTTGATTGTCATGTGGTGCCTTGTGTTGACTTGATTGCCATGTGACGCCGTGAGTGGACTGGATTGTCATGTGGTGCCCTGAGTGGACTGGATTATCATGTGGTGCCCTGAGTGGACTTGATTGTCATGTGGTGCCCTGTGTGGACTTGACTGTCCTGTGGTGCCATAAGTGGACTGGATTGTCATGTGGTGCCCTGAGTGGACTGGATTGTCATGTGGTGCCCTGAGTTGACTGGATTTTCACGTGGTGCCCTTAGTGGTTTGCTTGCATGTGGTGCCCTGACTGGACTGGATTGTCATGTGGTGCCCTCAGTGGACTTGAATGTCATGTGGTGCCATGAGTGGATGGGGTTGTCATGTGGTGCCCTGAATGAACTTCATTGTCATGTGGTGCCATGACTGGGCTGGATTGTTATAGTATACCATGTGTGGACTTGATTGAATCCCTGAGTTGACTTGATTGTCATGGGATGCCCTGAGTGGAGCTGATTGTCATGTGGATCCCTGAGTAGACTTAAATGTCACGTGGAGCCCTGAGTGGAGCTGATTGTCATGTGGAGCCCTGAGTGGACTTGAATGTCATGTGGAGACCCGAGTGGACTTAAATGTCATGTGGAGCCCTGAGTGGAGCTGATTGTCATATGGAGCCCTGAGTGGACTTGAATGTCATGTGGAGCTCTGAGTGGACTTGAATGTCATGTGGAGCCCTGAGTGGACCTGAATATCATGTGGAGCCCTGAGTGGACTTATATGTCATGTGGAGCCCTGAGTGGATCTGAATGTCACGTGGAGCCCTGAGTGGACTTGAATGTCATGTGGACCCCTGAGTGGAGCTGATTGTCATGTGGTGCCGTGAGTGGACTGGATTGTCATGTGAAGCCCTGAGTGGAATTGATTGTCATGTGGTGCCCTGAGTGGACTTGATTGTCATGTGGAGCCCTGAGTGGAGCTGATTGTCATGTGCAACCCTTAGTGGATGTGATTGTCATGTGGCGCCCTGGGTGGACTTGATTGTCATGGTGAGCCCTGAGTGGAGCTAATTGTCATGTGCAACCCTTAGTGGATGTGATTGTCATGTGGCGCCCTGGGTGGACTTGATTGTCATGTGGAGCCCTGAGTGGAGCTGACTTACTTGCATGCGGTGTCCAGGTCCTCCGGCAGGTCCATCACGTGCGCCTTGCAGGTCTCCAGCACCTCCATAGCCTCGTCGAAGTTAGCACAGCCTGGTGGGGCAGATAGGGTATACACTGTGTTACATGGTGCATAGTCGAGTCAGTCGTTATAAAGGAATGTTAATGACTTATTTCCTATTGTATGTAAAGCTTTACGCAAATGGTTCTGTTACCGGTGTTTGCTGCACTCCTACTTCAAAGCTTTGTGATTGACACATGGCAAAAATGTTCGGTACTGAATTGAACAGCTCTGACCTACTCGCCAGCAGTGAAAACAGTATTACCCCACCCATCCACACAAACCATTTCACCCCACCACTTGTAATGTTTAACCACCCAGACCAACAGTACAGTGTTACACCCACCCTGAATACCCAACCAACCGTTTCCCTGACTCTCACCGGTCTACCTACAGGACCCTCTCCCCGACCCTCCCCCGACCCGACCCCACATACCGCCAGCACAGATGGTGTTGGCGGTCTGGTCTACCCACTCCAACCTCTCGCTGACCCCACTCACTGGTCTTCCCACTCCACCCTCTCGCTAACCCCGCTCACAGGCAGTAGAAATGGTGTTGGCGGTCTATTCTACCCACCAAACCGCCCCGCCCCTCCCCCGACCCAACTCACCGGCAGTACAGATGGTGTTGGCGGTCTGGTCTACCCGCTCCAACCTCTCGCTGACCCCGCTCACTGGTCTACCCACCAAACCCTCCCCCTCCCCCGACCCAACTCACCGGCAGTACAGATGGTGTTGGCGGTCCAGTCTACCCACCAAACCCTCCCCCTCCCCCGACCAAACTCACCGGCAGTACAGATGGTGTTGGCGGTCTGGTCTACCCACCAAACACCCCCTCCCCCTCCCCCGGCCCAACTCACCGGCAGTACAGATGGTGTTGGCGGTCTGGTCTACCCGCTCCAACCTCTCGCTGACCCCGCTCACTGGTCTACCCACCAAACCCTCCCCCTCCCCCGACCCAACTCACCGGCAGTACAGATGGTGTTGGCGGTCCAGTCTACCCACCAAACCCTCCCCCTCCCCCGACCAAACTCACCGGCAGTACAGATGGTGTTGGCGGTCTGGTCTACCCACCAAACACCCCCTCCCCCTCCCCCGGCCCAACTCAACGGCAGTACAGATGGTGTTGGCGGTCTGGTCTACCCGCTCCAACCTCTCGCTGACCCCGCTCACTGGTCTACCCACCAAACCCTCCCCCTCCCCCGACCCAACTCATCGGCAGTACAGATAGTGTTGGCGGTCTGGTCTACCCACCAAACACCCCCCCCCCCCCGGCCCAACTCACCGGCAGTACAGATGGTGTTGGCGGTCTGGTCCACGCCCTGGGGCAGAAGGTCATAGAAGAGACGGGCGAACATGGGGCATTCCGCCGTCACCTGCGCGGCACACTCCAGACTGTCGTTGAGAGACCTGCAGAAAGGGAGGGTGATTACGTCATTGACAATCCCCAGCAAGCCGACGGTACGCCGATACATTCCAGACAATTGCATTTAATTAACTCACGCAAAAGAACATTTATCGTGCAAGATGTGTGATCGCAGTTTATTGGCCTATTTATCGCCGCACTCCAATATTCCAAACATAAATATTCGAATGTGGACCAGATAATCCAGTGATTGATATAAGGATCACCGAGCCACGATACGATAACATGCGATCAAGCAGGTCACAGAGCCTGACCTCCCGATCCATTTGACCGCTTCTAAGGACCACCATAGGTTGCTTGGGTCCTTTTAATAACCCACCCACACAGGCTTAAATTCGTAAGAGGTTTTCCATTCATTTTGCTTTACAACTTTTACTTATTGGTAATAAAACTGAGACTTTCCTTGAGGCACTAGTCTGGAGCATCTAGAACAAATGACCAGATGTTCTCAGCACCTACCTGCAGAAGTTGCCGAAGGACGACTCGTAGAGGGAGTCAAATCGGATGAGACTGGTACACTGGGTGATGTTGATGGTTCTCTCCAGGAAGCTTGGGCAGGCTGGAACAATGCAACATCGTCTCGGTGAGGGACAGATCAGCTAACATACCAGGGGTGGTGTGGGATGGATTTGGGTCATAAGGAATTTTCTTGTTAGACACTGGATATTCATACACTGGTTCAAATATATTCGCGAGTAACTCTCGAGTTACTCCGAGTTGCGTCCCTTAGTCGTACCAGGATCTTCTGAACACAGGTTTGAATCCGAGATTCTGCCTGATTATGACCACTGGTTTGTCAGCACCATGACAGTGTTCGTGGTTTAACCAAAGTGGTAATTTCAACTTGACCCTACTGACCCCAACAGCACGCCTGAATTCGGCCTTACCAAACTCATACTTCCCTTGACCACACCTAAATTCAACTTGACCCTAACTCACCCCACATCACATCTGAACTCGACTTGAATCCTCTCACCCCTAAAACGACTTGACCCCAGTTACCCTGAACCCCATTCTCCAGACTCCGTTACCCTGAGACCTCTGTCCGCGTTCCCCTGAGACCCTCACTTCCGTTCCCCTGAGACCCCTTCCCCTGACCACTCACCCCCGTCACACAACTTGTAGATGTCCTGCATGACTCTCTCCCATCTCTGCATGGTCCACGTGGGCGCCTCGTCGCCCTGGATGTTGCAGCCGGCGGTGGCGTCGATGTAGCACTGCGTCAGGTTGTTGCCCTTGATGGTGTCCCTGAACCACACGAACATTAAACAATACATGTAATATATACATTAGAGACAAATAACAGATTGAATCGATGTTTTAGTTGTATCATCTAGTACATCCCCATCCATTCAAGGTATAACCATCGGTCTTCATATCGTTCAGTGCAGTCGTCATTAAATATTTTAGGGGAAGCAGGGATTTTCTGCTTCAAATCACTCACTCAAGAAATATTTCTGTGGAAGAAGCCATGCAATATTTTTTTCACAAGAAATGTTTTTTCAGGACATCCCGCGAACACTTATCGTGCTCGTAAAACGTGAGGTCAAATCATGGTTTTTTTTCGTTTTCTGGAGCAATGTGTTTTTTAATATAAAAGAGCCTCGCCCGCCCCCAATATCAAATGATTGGGCCTACAGTGTAAATGTTTGTCTAAACCAGGACTTGTTTCTTTAAGTTACAGCGACTTTGCACACATCGAATACCGGGGCACAGTTCAAAGTCTTCCTTTCTACAAAGCCAAAAAGTAGAGTTTTCTTGTGTTGCGTTCTAAGGTGACGCTAAGCTATACTGACACACTCACTCACTCCTATGCTGTGAGTGAGTAGGGTTCTAATTTGCACTCAGCAATATTCAGGCTGTATGACGGCGGTTCTGTAAATATTCGAGTCTGGACAAGACAATCTAGCAATTCATATCATGAGCATCGATCTACACAATTGGGATGCGATGACATGCATGAGCCAAGTCCACGAGCCTGACCACCCGATCCCGTTAGTCGCCTCTTACGACAACCATACTCGCCTTTTATAGCAAGCATGGGTTGCTGGGAACCTATTCCAACCCCGATCTTCACGGGTCGAGTAGGATTCTGGCGTGACGAACCAACGCTTTCACCACAAAGCTACCTCACTGCCTATTTTGTACAGTCACTAATAGAAATTAGTTAAACAAGGTTGTTGTCATGCTTCAGCTGAAAATTTGTTTTTCTACTCACAGACATATTTTCTCGAGTGTGCCGACGGCGGCACCTCCCTCAGTCGCCGTCTCGATGACCTGGTTCAGCACCCCCTCCATCTCCCGCACACACACCTCCGCGTGCGTCGTGTTGCACGTCTGTGACGTCACACCTACACGTGCACAATAAACAGTCAATTCATGTGCTGAAAATTGTCCATGTTCAACAATCAAACATCGATTTCACCTTTGTTTGTTTGTTTGTTTGTTGTTTAACGCCGCACTCACCAATATTCCAGCTATATGACGGCGGTCTGTAAATAATCGAGTCTGGACAAGACAATCGCGTGATTGACATCATGAGCATCGATCCAAACAATTGGGATATAGTGACATGCATCAACCAAGTCAGCGAACCTGACCACCCGATCCCGTTAGTCGCCTCTTACGACAAGCATAGTCGCCTTTTACGACAAGCATGGGTGATTTCACCTGGAATACTGAAAGCTGTTACGGGGAATATAACAAATATGTACGGTGCACACTTTGGATGTTTGCGTTTTTGTTGGGAGCATGAGGTTTCTGTAACGTGAGCAACACACAATGATTGTTTGGCTGTCAGGTGCTCATTGAAACACTTTTGTTCAACCGTAAATAAAGCTACCTTAATGCAACGACTTGCCTAAAATCAGCGTCTACGCGCCGAAGATATGCATCTTCCCGAGGCAAGAGAGTTAACTGGATAAAGTCCAGTTTCAACCCTTGCCGAATAAGTGGCGATTACGAATTATGTCCCTTCTATGTCCCCCCTACTGACCAATCAGATTTCACCTCTCCTTTCACTTGCAATTGCTTCAAACAAAATGGCGGCGCACAGTCAAGACGATGTGATCGATAATCAAAATCTGTTTTAATAAAATGGGTCTTACCTCGCGAATTGCATCAAATCAGTTTATCACCATGTTAAAAACATGAAAAGATTTGGAAATATCCATCGACGCAAGTTGACGGTACACACATGCTTGGCAACTCTTGCAGTCGACTGAAATCTGCACGTTAAAATCTATGTTGTTTACGAACTGGATGTCTAGTTATGCGATTTTGATTGAACTATGCATAGACTCAATAGACCAGCCAAACTATAATTCTGGAATTCCAGCCTAGTCCGGCAAGGGTGGAAACTGCACTTTTATAGTCAGTTAACTCCCTTGCATCAGGAAGATGCACCAAAAGATTCAAAGTAAAGATGTACTTGTCGAACAATCTGTTTCAGAGGTACTACTTCTTCAAACGCCCTCGACTACAGCAGCCCCCGGAAGACCGTGGTACGCCCAACCCTACGTCAACTGAATGAGTGTGGGAGTGAGTATGGTTTTACGCCGCTTTTTGCAATATTCCAGCAATATCACGGCGGGGGATACCAGAAATGGGCTACACACATTGTACCCATATCGGGAACCGAATCCGGGTCTTCGGCGTGACGAGCGAACGCTTTAACCAATAGGCTACCCACCGCCCCGTATTTATATGAAGGACAGTTACTTTTTTCCTCTAGTATAGTGCGTATAATACGGCGGTCGTTTTTGAAGGCAGATTTTCCTGTGTTTAACACACTATGAAATGAAGTCAAAGGCAAACGGAACCAATTTGCAGTTGATAAGTTGTCCACCGGTCTCTAGAGGGACGTGTTTTAGGTGAACTCGACAACGACCGTATCTCACCGCACATCCAATTTATTTTTCTATATTGCAGGTAAGTCTTACGCATGCAGACTTTGATCCCACTCGATAAGAATACCACAGTTAGGCATTTATCCACTTCGTTCATTTTTCACGACAGAGACAAACTTAGAGTTATTCCCCCTAGATCTATTTCATTCGGATTTTTTTTGTAAATATCCGCAGAATGGCCTCTTACATCATTAATTCTAATTCGAGAAACAAGACTGTGGTTGGTATGTTGAAAATATCATACAAATATTTCGGCAAATCGAGTTGGGAACATATGAAATGTACCTTACAAATTAGTGAGGTACATTCACTACATTGGAAATAATAGAATGGATGTCAGCCAATCTGGAATCAGACATTCGTGTGTAAGGTAAGATTAATAAGATTAATACGTTGTGTTGTGTCGTGTCATGTGCTAACCACGTGCCCAAAAGTAGTTCAAGATCCCTGACAGTGCCGGCGCAGGCCATTCCTGACCAACTCGTGTTATTCCGGGACAAGCGGAAAGGGGCGAGTGGTGACGAATGGGCCCAGGCCCTTCTGGCGTGAACGGTGCCAGTGGGTCAGTTAACACAGTAGATGGCGCCACAGCAGAGCGTAATGTGGGTCCGCCCGTATGTACACAGGTCCAGCCAGGGCGGGGTCAGAGCCTGCACCGACAGTCAGCTGGATAGGATTCTTTATGCAATGTAAACTAATTGCTATTTTCTACTTTGGGATTAGACGGTAATTAGCATGTTTGCCTGAGCCATCAGGGCTCCATTCGGAGTGGGCAGTGTCAACAGTGACAGTATGCTGTCTGTTGAGGCCGTATACTGCTCCTAACACCCCTCGGTCTGTCGGTTACCCTCATCCAGGCTTTCTATCACTAGGCTGGGGAGGGGAGGCGACGGAGGGGGAAGATGGGGGATAACTGGGGGATAACTTAACGCCACTTTTAGAGATATTCTAGCGGTATATACCAAGACTTTACTTCTTGTACTGAGTGAGGGAGTTAATGTGAAATGAGCTTTAACGTAGCGCTCAAGATTATTGTAGGAATATAGCGATGTGCATGCACGTGTATGTGTGTGTGTGTTTGTGTGTGTGTGTGTGTGTGTGTGTGTGTGTGTGTGTGTGTGTGTGTGTGAGAGCTTGTACTTGTCCGGATTTATGCCGGATTTATAGTGCTAGCCCACTGAGATGCCATTCAGGCTAAAGTTTAACATGGATACCACTCAGACACCTTATACAGCCGACCAGTCCTTGTATTATACCCTAATTGCATAGCTCTAGGTGGGGTCATAACAAGCACCATCGTTTAACTTCTCTTTGTATGACGCGGCGGATCGAACTATCGACCTTCCACTCCCCGGGCTGACCGTTGGGTGATTGGGTGAATGTTTTGACATTACATTACAGCTACGTCATGACAATACCCGTGAAGATCCGTTTCAGAATAGGTCTTCAGCAACCTACACTTGTCGTAAAAGGCGACTAACGGGATCGGGTAGTCAGGCTCGCTGACTTGGTTTATGCGTGTCATCGCATTCCAATTGCGTAGATCCATGTTCATGACATCAATCACTGGATTGTCAGGTCCAGACTCGATTATTTTCAGACCTACGTCATATAGCTGGAATATTGTTAAATGACAATTAATATTCATCGGACTATTTACCCGGCCAGACGTGGATATATAAACACGGTTTATCATCATCTGAAAGCAACAAGTATGCCATCCTATGTTATGCATACTGCCTATAACAATAATTATTGGCTACAACGTGGGCACTGATAACTGTTTACTACAGCAAAGCTGTACGAGTTTAAACGATGTCACCAGTACTGAAATATCTGCTCCCTACGATTTAAAGCTGCTGAAGAAGCATCATTAATATGAAAATATTTAATTCTTAAATAGTCTGCGTATTAGCATTTTGCTAATGGTTGCTGCCAGAAGCAGTTGCATAGTATCAGTGTTCAGTGGTACACAAGTTTATATAAACGAGGTAAAATAGCAACAACTATATTTATTGTTGGTATCTGCAGGTGGTTTAAGTACATGACATCTAAGATCCGAGCGGTAACAAGTAAAGTTAAGAAGTAACATTTACATTTAAGCCGTGTAATTAGTCATGTACAAACAATCTGTTTCTCTAATCCCAAGGGTAAATAAACTGGTGTAAACAAGTGTTTAGTTGCTGGTCAGAGAATCTGGATGTCCCTCCCGCGGCATCTGGTGAAACAAACCGTAGTACTAGGATAGGTGGCGCTGTCTCGAGTCACGTGACATGGGACAGACGCAGCGGTCCCGTCATTGTACATGCGCTCATTCACGAATACGTGTTGTTTACACACAGTTATATTTGGAGTGAATGACGAAATGGGCTTGTTCGTGTCGCCTTCGTAACAGTCGCGTCTTTCCGGAAGCGGTGTCCGGACCATCCCGAAATGACACAACAGGTTTCCGACAATCAGCTGTCTTCACCCCAAAGCACGTTCGCAGACCCTTGTTTCGGCATGCTTAATAAAATGGTATTTTCATATCGTTTTGCCGCCGTATTTGATGTTTTGGTGTGTTTCTACCCCGCTGGGATCGTCTGGGACGCCCGTTTAATTGAGATAACCATTTAGTTGGATACTTATTTTAAGTGAGTGAGTTTTATTTTACGCCGCTTTAAGCAACATTCCAGGAATATCACGGCGGGGGACGCAAGAAATGGGCTTCACACATTGCACCCATGTCGGGAATCGAACCCGGGTCTTCGGCGTGACGAGCGAACGCTTTAACCACTAGACTACCCCACCGCCCCACTTATTTTCACAACAATATGTGTTCTTAAATATCAACCACAACATGTGGGACAATGTTCAATTTGTTTGTTTTCTAATATACATTGACAGTGTCAGAGCGGCGACTGTTGTGCTGACTACACAGTGACAGTGTCAGAGTGGCGACTGTTGTACTGACTACACATTGACAGTGTCAGAGCGGCGACTGTTGTACTGACTACACATTGACAGTGTCAGAGTGGCGACTGTTGTACTGTATACATTGACAGTGTCAGAGTGGCGACTGTTGTACTGTATACATTGACAGTGTCAGAGCGGCGACTGTTGTACTGACTACACATTGACAGTGTCAGAGTTGCGACTGTTGTACTGACTACACATTGACAGTGTCAGAGTGGCGACTGCTGTACTGTACACATTGACAGTGTCAGAGTGGCGACTGTTGTACTGTATACATTGACTATGACAGAGCGGCGACTGTTGTACTGACTACACATTGACAGTGCCAGAGTGGCGACTGTTGTACTGTACACATTGCCAGTGTCAGAGCGGCGACTGTTGTACTGTACACATTGACAGTGTCAGAGTGGCGACTGTTGTACTGTATACATTGACTATGACAGAGCGGCGACTGTTGTACTGACTACACATTGACAGTGTCAGAGTGG